TTAGCATGTGGGAAATGGAACCGTTCTGGTGTGCAGGGATTCATGTTGCATGCCCTCTTCATGACTTTTTACTGGAACTGCAATTTTAGACTTAAAACCATAGTGCTATGATAAGTTTTATGGCAACATAGCAAAGCAAATGTAAATTGGGATCAGTTTGTTCACAGGTGTGTCCATAGGTACTTGGAAGGCTCAAAATGTTTCATGAATATTTGGACAAACCTGAGTTGGGCAATTCATGATTATAACTGAATTTTGATGTGTTTTCCTAGTTAACTGAGAACATCTATTCAGCCCCAAAAAGCAGCTAGTGTAGTATCTTCATAAGGAGTGAGGCACTTTTAACAACTAGTACAACCTTATTTTCCTTTAGGCAGAAACCTTTAGAGTAACGAACTGTTCAAGCCTGGGGTACAAGAGAACAAATACTACACTGAACAGCAAAATAATGATTGTTTGACCTAATTTTTATCAACCTTGAATTCAATCCTTTTTGCCTATGTAAGGACCTCTAGATTTGGCCCTCAAATGCCAATATCTCTTTTCTGACAGCTACAACTATGAAGCCTCACTGACTGCAGTCAGAAATCTAATGGGAAAAAAAATACATAAAATAAAGATCACTAATTTCCAAGAAATAAGAAGTAAAAGCTTTCCATTAGATATCCATTAGCTTTCTATACCTATGACTAGTGTATGTATTTTTAGTAATTTCTTAGGATGAACAAAAAAGCCTGTTTCCTTATCTACTTTTTTTGACAGCTCCTTTCTTTTCTCTTATAGAGGAATTCCTTCCTCTAACACTCTTGTAACATTTTGTACAACAGTGATACTTCTGCAAGGCTGATCTTTCTTTGTGATACAGTCATCTGTAGCCCGCAGTTTGAAAGTTCAACTGCCTCCTGAGAAGCTTTTCAGTGGCAAGGTGATCTTTCCTTGAACTTGCAAGTCTGTTCCCTACAGAAACAGATTCTCCAAAGGCCTCAGCAAATACAGCTACACTGGGATAACAGAAGCTTTCTTTGCAAGTGGATAAGTCTAACAGAGATGACATTGCCACAGAAAATTCCCCAAGCCACACATCACCACCTTTAAATAAGGTACAGCTAAAAGATCTACAAAGTATCCCAACAAGGGAGAGGTTCAAGACACAAAAATCTGATCTAAATTCAAGTTAAATATTGATTTGCTTCAAAATACAACACTGTCAAGATCTTGGTTATCTCTCATGCTCTTCTCTGGTGATATGCTTTAGAGTACAAATCTAAGTGGAAAGATTTATTTGTGTGATGGACTCTAACTCAATTGGTAGTTTCAGTAATCTCAAAAAAAATCTGAGATTTAGGCATGTTTCTGGATGGCCTTTTTAATCTGAATGGCTTTGACCAAACTCAACAGAGGGAAGATCTGGCATCAGTGAGTAGAGTGTAGGTATGAACAAAATGAGCAGCTTGTGACTGGGCAGCTGAGGCTACAATTCAAGTGTTGTGTGGTGACTGCTGCATGAAAATGCATGAACAATTATATTCTGTACAGAGGTTTAGTATCTACCCTGTGTGTGCTGACTCTTGGAAGCTGGCAGTGTATTGCTAGTGTAGAAGATACAAAAGGGAAGTGCTCAAGTTGGAGGAATTAAAGTTCTATAATTAGAAATAGTCCCTTAAAATTACATGCCACATAGCAATCCTACGAAACTTGGCATGTGGAGAACATATTTGCAATGATTTACAATTAACCACCACATTGCAAATCACTGCTTAGCTGTTTTCTGTTATGAAATTTGGAGAGTTGTAAAATGCATTTGTGCTACTTTATTTCCTTTTGAAATGGTAATTGCTACTGCTGAGGGGCAGTACTTAGTGCAGAAAATGAAGTGTGCGGCATGAGGAGGAACTTGTTTCTGAGGAACAGCTGAGGAATTGTAATGATCTGCAAAAAGCACTTTCTTGAAACATACACACAAAAGAGCTTCATTTATGAAATTCCAACCAAATAAATAAGAAAAAAATAAAATAAAACACAGTCTTTTTTTGTGCAAGGGCAACGCTTACTGCTTTGTTGCTGACTGCACTTTTTCCCCATCAAAGTGGGAACAGTGGATTGACACTGGGTAAAACTCATAAGCCAATGGCTTGAGGGAAATGCAGATGTATGAAAATGAGATTGGAATGCCCCTAAGGTAATGGGTTTTGAGCCAATGCGTTTGAAAATTATCAAGTGTGCTTCTAACTACTAGCCCATTTTAGATACCTAGTATAGAACTGACAGTGGTATAGCCCTGGGGAGCTGGATGAAGTTTGACTTTTGTGTCTGAGGAACAGAGGCTGTGCAGCCTAAGTGGAGAAATCAGGTATGTTCTAATTGAGTGGTGATAAGTTCCCCCCTTACAGCTTCCCCCTTGATAGTGATTGTAAAAAGGACTGTGTTTATGAGTAGCTTTTATGGAGGGATATATTAAGGAAAGCAAGGAGTAAGGCTTCCGAGGTCTTAAATTTTCTAACTTGTGACAATAATCATGATCTCTCAGGTAATAAAGTAGACTATCTAGCTCAGGCCCTCAGTTTAAAGTTAATATCTTTGAAAGCCAGATGATCGACTGTAATTCTGCTCATAGTGCTTTGCTGGTAGCAGTAAATAAAAACATCTACAGCACTTTTCATCAGAAGTGTCTGAGTGCTTTCCACACCTGAATCAATTAATTTTTATGAGAAGGTGGCATGGTTATTCCCCTGTCTCTACTGAAGGAACTGAAAGGATCAGGGCAGCAATCGGAAAGTATGCAGCAGTTAGTGCAGTAGCAAAGTCTGGTAATGCCTGGCTCTAGAAGTGTGGCTTTCCAGAATTATTTTATGGTTAATACAGAGGAGACAGACACAGTCATAATTCTGCTTTCATAAGTACATTTGAACTGGCTTTGTGTCTTAGAATGACAACAGACTGAGATGATGCTGCTGAGATGGTCCACCTTGACAGTGAGGAAAAGAAGTCATTGTATTGGATCAGCTTGGCTACAGAAGTAACTCACAACTGAGCTACAATGCCAAAAGGCAGTATACAGCAGCTGAAGCCAGGAATGGCTCAGAACAAGTAATTTAGAAGTACTATCCAGGCATGTAGGGATGATATTAAAAAAGCCAGTGTGCAGCTAGAGTTGAAACGTGCAAGGGAATTCAAATTGTTAGCTAGAGGATCAACAAGAAAAATGTGGGACTGATGCTAGATTCAGCTGGTGATTTAGTGGCGGCAAACACAGACCAGGCTGAGGTACTCGGTGCTGCCTTTGCCTCAGTCTTTACCAACAAAGTCTCCCAGGCTCTGTGCTTTGCAGCAGGGCTCAGGGAGGGGGAGAATGACCAGCATTGGGTATAAGTTGAAAAAAAAAAAGAGATTTAGACCAGAACTAAGGAGAAACTTTCTCCCCATGAAGAAGGTCAGGCAGTGGCACTGGCTGCCCAGAGAGGTTATTATTACTGTGGAAAAATGGGGACAATGGCTTATATTTAGGGGTGTTTAGATGTCTATTAATTTCAGTGGGACTTAAGCACTCAGTACCTTTGAAAACTAGCTAATCACCTAACAAACAAGACATTAATTTAGCAGTTCTCTCCAGAATGGAAAACTGTCAATATACTTGTTTATAAACAAAGGAACAAGCAATCACTGTGTATGGTAAATAAAATAGTTGCCACATGTTTTGCAGATGATTAAATGGAAAAGGGATCAGTTATTTTCTCAATAGCACCAATGTAAATCAAGAGTAATGCAATTAATTTTTGCTCATGTAATTAGGGAGTACAACTTTATCTCAGATAGATTAGTGACTTTCCACAAAGGTGCAGGAGTCAGTTCCATAGCTAGAATTTGAATTTTCCCATTTCTTTTCTTAGACAAGTTGATCATTTCTTCCTTCTACTGTACACCTTTTAATCGTAAATGCACTTTCTAATTTTTATAAAGATTTATTCTCAGTGTTCAGAAATGGCTACAGTTTTAAAATTATAACTAAAGTTGTAAGCAGATTCCACAAAATTCAGACACTAATGATGTATCTTAGAAAAAGGAGCTCTTTCCCATGTGTGTATAAATTGAGGCAGTTCAGTTTGCAGCTACTTAAATACCAATAGGCCATCGTTTGTTTTGACTTTGAATCAGGAACATAACGTACAGGCACGCTTTGCTTCTCTTTGATACTGTCATTTTTTTGTTGTTGTTTGTTTTGGTTTGGTTTTTTGTTACCAGAATAAGAATATTAGGAACAAGGTTCTTCTCTTCCTGTAAAGATTTTTGTGCTTTGGGAAGTATGAGGGAGACAAAACTTTCTATTTCCTTTGGGTTTTCTCACAGTTTTCCTAATATTTGACACATTACTGCTCTTGCATATTGGGAGATCTATGCATCTGACACCAGAAGAAAATTAACCCTTGGAAAGCTGTGCAGAAACTGCAGAGTGCATACTCTGAGACTCTGAGCTCCTGGGACAATACCTGCATTTATAGCCCACGGACTGAGTAATTTTCCTGGAATTGGACATCTCAGCTCCCCAGTTCCTCACACGTGTGACACTTCTAAAAGCAAGATATTTCTGAGGTAGTAGCTGCAGGTTGTCCAAGTTTCTGACCCAGCTAGTGATTCTTTTGAGAATGTTTCTGGAGGGAAAATAAGCTATAATTGCTTAGACCTAAAGCATCAGAGTTTTGTTGTTGCTGTCAGAAACCATTTTAGCCCCAAGGAAATACAACTTCTCGAGAAATGCTTCTCATCTGCTATTTTTCAATCACTGAAGTATACAAGTATATTTGAAAAGCAAAGTGCTTATGTTTATATCTGCTTTTATAAGTTTAACTGTAATCAGCAGACTAGGAACAGAGTGCACAAGTCATTTTATCTACATTATTTGTGGAGAATCTCTCACAGGAGTGCTTCTGACCTAGTTAAACTCCTGTTATTTTGAACATTATTCTTAAAAAGCCATCAATACTTCTCTGAACCCACATACTCACTTGTTGCCCGGTAACCAGAAGGATGGAGCCTTCTTTCCCATGTACCACTTGCCGATAAATGTGATCTAGAATTAAGAGTTCACTCCAGCAGTTCTGAAGCAACTTCATTTGGTCATCAACCTGTAAAGCAAACACGAACGTTGGTGGTATCATTCTGGGAGTAAGTCTTACATCACACTATGGAGTCAGTCCTTCTTCAAGCATCTGGTTAATGTCATGAGTACAGAAATGCCACCAAAAATTATTCATCCACAAAATTGCTATTCTCAATTGAATAAATAGGGCACTGCTGAAACCCTTGCCTGTAAAATGTATAGAGTATTTCCTACTGATTACATTCGAGGAAAGCAGAGCTATGGCGTTGATATGCGAGGTAATAATAATAGTATGTTTATGAAATGGTCATGGAAATGGGATATTTTTTTTTACCCAAATTAAGAATAGCAGAAATAATGCTAATGTGAACTTTCCCCATCCTTGAACTTCTGCTTCTGGAAACAGGAAGGAATTGGCAGATTCAAGAGCATTATTATTGGTGCAACAAGCCCAAGTCAAAGATAGGTCCCTTGCAAAGGAAAAAGTGAAGAGAGAGGTAAACATTCCCTCTGAGAATGGTTGTGGTACTATGAGAAAAGAAGAAAACTTCTTCATAAACAGAAGCTGGGTTGCTTCAGGTGTCACTAGTAGGGCAAGAAAGGGCTGTGCCCAAGGTAGTAGTGACCAGTGAAACATATCACTGACTCCATTTGGTAGTAGAAGACACATACGGGGCACTCGGCACAAGCGGCCTCCTACATTTATTTTTTTTGTGCAATGTTATTTGGGATGTACATATCATAGGACAACAAAGTATATCACTGAACTGACCCCTATTGCAACTGGATTGCATTCAGTTTTATTCAAAGACTGAAAAATAATGAAGATTTTCATGGAAGTGGGAGAAAAAAAATCACAAATTAGTGGATGGCAGACTATGAATTTAAGTCATAGTAAGCATCAATATCCTGTTCTTCCTGAACGTACTAATTTCTTCCTAAAATCAAACAAAGTTTTTGACTTCAGACATATGTCCTGAAAGAATTAAGAGATGCATACATTAGCATTGCTACATTTAAGTGTCTGGTGTGGATGTGGTAATAGCATGAATACAGTTAAAAGGACTCTAAGAACCTGCATAGATAGCAATTGCTGAACAGATTTAAAATGTTATAAGTTAGAAGAAGTAAAAAATAAATGAACAAAGAGAATATTTAAAGTGGAGAAATGCCTAGAATTTCTGAGAGATGGAACTATTAAAATAGTTTTTTAGGGGTTCTAATTTCACTCGCTTTAGAACTAGATTTGATAATGCACAGGAAACTGCATTATAAGGAACCATCTTGCATGAGCTGAATTAGATAATGCAATAGATGTTTTCAAATTTTACCAGCTATGATCTGATGAATTTTTGAGCTTTATTCTTTCAAGCTTGTTTTCTGGTTGTGTGGTAGAGAAGGAAGTAACAGTTGTTACTAATAGATTTTTGTAGTGTCATCCGTGAAAGTTACCTATTATTGTCTCCCTCTTTCCAGTCACTTGCCATATAGCTCAGACTTGAACATCTGCCTCCTTCATTCATCTTAACTTCCCTTCTCCCCACTCGCAGTCTTCTCCCAACTGTTGTCCCAGTTTCTCCCTCCTAAGTATCTCTTGCTGGACTGTGCAAGCAAATGAAATCAGGAGAGAAAGGGAGCAGATTAGCACAAAGCCAGTGGGGAGAAAAGGGCAAAAGAACCTGCATGCAGCAGAGCACATTCCCCACACAGCCTGGACTAGGACCCTCGGTTCTCGCTTTTACTGCTCCATGGCTGTAGCAGGGATCTGTGCTGGAAAACTGCACAACTCATTCCCTCCACTACTGCTTTACCTAGAGGATGATACCATTTTCATGGGATTTGGTTTTGTTTTGTTTTAATTTTATTTTTATCCTCTCCACTTTGCTCTTTAAAAAAAAACCAAAGCAAAGCAAAACAACATAACAAGGAAAACTATATCCAAATATCTACGCCAAAATAATAGCTTAAGGTTGCAAAATCAAGCACTGCAGAATTAGTCAATGCTTGTATTAAGACTGTCTGTCCTGTTCTTATTTTATCTTCAGTCTGTGCTTGTGTTAGATTTTAATGCCTAGACACAAAAGGACTGAATTAGTATTGTGCAAACACTCTCAGTTGTGATATTTCAAATGTTTTGCATGCTTTGGCTTTCCAATATTAAGAATAATCTTTTCTGACAGTTGCTGTTCTGCCTACAGTCACAGTTAATGCATGTATGCTCAGATAACTCCTGTAAGCTACATATCCATTGGTGATAGAGATGGAGGAAAGAAAGAGGTGTGGGCTCTGTAGATGGATATATTACTAAGTCAAAGCCAGTACTATCACAAACTCAGCCTTGCTCTGTCCCTATGCTGTCTGTGCCCATGATAATTCATTTCTCTTCAGATCACAGAGCAAGGCTGATTCTGTGTTAAAGATCTCTCTTCCTCTGCCCACAGCATGTATTTGACTACAAAACCATTTCAACCAAATGACTTGTTAGCTCAAGAGAGGACAGTAAATTACCACATTGATACGCTCCCTACCAAGACTTGGGCTGGGTTTAAAATAAGGCATTATTTGAAGAAAATGTTTGAAATTTATAGATTCTAGTATTCTTGCTTTTTATCTGAAACTGATTTGTGATAATTTTCTCCTCTGTACAACAAGGTGTTACAAATATCAAATAAATCATACTAACATGATAATTTCATCCCAAATTAGCATTTCACACAAAGCTATCACAGCTTACATCTGAACAAAAACTGTGAGAAAGTTTAAACGTTCAGCATTCATGTCATAACAAGTAACACCTAAATAAGAGGTCAAGTATTTGATTATATTATAAATGACTTATTTCCAGCTAACCCATCTGTCTCAGCCACAGGCTTTTGAAAACAAACTACACTTTACAGGTCTGGCTTTCTGAAGGCCCCAACAGCAGCTAGTCTGCAATCAAAGCTTACCTCCCGAGCTTTATCGTATCATTACCGAGCCAGTGCTGTGAGAACAGTGTGAGATGGCAAAATCACATTAAAAAATGTTTTGCACATAGTCTGTTCCTGCTGTTCTACAAGACTCATAAAACTAGCAATAGTGAACATCTGCTAGTGGTTCACAAAATCTGCTCCTCCATATTCACTGTAATTTAACCAGTGAAAGCCTATAAAATGGACAGCATAAAAAGCACAATACACATCCGAAACACAGTACTGCCTTCAGAATCAGATCCAGCTGCTTTTGCCATTTTAAGGATGCTGGCTGGACAGCAGAATGCTTCCCAGTTTGCTCTAGGAAGAGAGAGAGATGACTCTAAGGATGGTCATGGATTACTAAAATGTAGGGCAAGTGATCAGTTCCAGCCTACTTCTGAAAGGCAATATAGATGAGGAAAAACACATGCTTTATGTCTGCTAATGAATATGAAATGAAAAATAGAAAACAACATCGATCACATTGGAAAAAAAACCAACCAAACAAAAACACCAAAACAGTAACACATCACTTTTTACGTTAGAATGAGCTGTTAAACTTTATGATGTGTGTAACTTCAGCCAGAACACAAACACCTTTGTGTTTCCGTAGCACGTCAGCAAATGAGTTGCAGAAGCATATTATCGGGCAAAATGAAAAAAAAAATCATCTCTTCACCAAAACAAGTATGTGCCTTAAATTGATCCTGAAAGCAAAGAGGCTTAAGTTTTGGTGGCTGAAGTGGAGAGTAAGTTCTGAAGAGGAAGGTCCACTGCAGAAAAAGCACCTTGTGGACTTCAGTCTTCTGACTCCAAAGCCAAAGCATGCTAGTCTGCCATTAACAGGATAAGCAGGAGAAGAGATAAGATTCTGTCACCAAGATAACTCCAGCCTGGGACTTTCCTATAATCAACATCATTTTCAACCATGGTATACATTGAATTAGAAACAAGTTCATAAATTTGTACTACTGGCTAAATTTTGAGGTTTTTTTCAGTTTGTGGAGACTACTTGGATTCCTTACAAATAACAACTGAACATCATATGGCCAACAGCTGTCTGCTGCAAGAACACTCCCCAAATTTGCAGCTGCTCCTTGCCATAACAGAACAGTGACACAAAGATAACGTAACCCATGTCCTACCTAAGCAAGCTGTCAAATGAGATACCCATTTGACAGCTATCTAGCCCCGAGCAAAAGTGTGAGCGAATACTGTGCCCAGATAGTTAAATTTAGGTCCTCTCTGGCAAGTGGCATTCAGATGAAGACACACCAGTAAGGATAGCATAACTGGAAACTGTTGCTGAAGAAATGGCTATTAAGGAAACGTGGAAGAAGCAAAGGCAGAATGTGTGACTCAAAATAGAAGATCCTTTCCAGCACCCAGGGTGGCATGAAAGAGTAATAATGTTATGAGTATGAAAGGAGTAAAACATCACACTTGTAAAAATGCTGCAAAGTGACAAGGGAAGCAAAAGGAGTGCTTAGGAGAGGCTTTAAAGGAGGGCGATGAGGAGGCAATGTGGTGAGAGAAGACATAAGGGAAGCTGGATGTCAGGTAAAACCTTGACGGTGAGGATGATGAGATTAGAGGAGATGCAAACTTAAAGGGTTTGTGTGACAGTAAGTGATGCTGCTGGGGCAGAGGAGGAGCAAGTACTCTGTGTTAGAGAAGCAGAAGATGGGGGTTGTCGCCAGCACAGGCAGAAGTCCCAGAGGTGAAAGTGGGCATGTGCATTGTCTGCTTTCTCAAACAGGGATACAAAGGTGGAGCAAGGGATAGCTTTCTGATAGCAGTAATACATGGCAATAAGTAGATCCTATTTCCTATACCAAAATCCTATTTACTTATGCTTACAGTGAGGACAAAGAAGCGCGATCTGAGCAACCTGCTCTAGTAAAGATGTCCCTGCTTACTGCAGGGGGGTTGGACAAGATGACCCTTGAAGGTCCCTTCCAACCCAATACATTCTATGATTCTATGAATTTAGAGTCATTCATAACCTTGTATCTGATGCTGTTTGGACTACTTGTAGCATATTCCCAAGTCATAAGCTGGAAGATAGATG